CTCCCAGAGTCACATGAGTTAACCCAAGCTCTCGTCCACACGCACATCCACAGCTGAATGTTTCTGGGCTACAGGGCTGCCTTTTTTTTTTTTTTTTTGCCACACACAATTGATCTTTTAAACTCTCTCCCTCCGGTTTCTCCTAATCCCTCGCCGCCCCCCTTCCTGATCCTGCAACCCCTTCAAGCCCCTCCACCATCACGACCACATTTCTCTTCCCCGCTCCTCTCATCTCTCGCTCTCGTCCCCTTCCTGTCTCCCTCACTCCACACTCTCTTCCTAATCCCATCCGCCCCCTCCCCGAATGAAAGCTTTTTTTCTTATTTTTTTCTGGTTCCCCTTTTATCTAATTCATTCAAGAATGATGCAGAAAAAATGAAGATAAAGAAACTCCTGTTTCTTTTCTGTAAAGGCTCAGAACTCTTTAATGTGTGTGTCCACTAAGAACCCTTTTCAGACTGCCAGCATCTTTATTGATTTACTTATTCTATTTTTATCTTTTACAAATGATTTGATTACCAACCATTTTTTCTTATGAGAAAACAGGTAATGCGTATATGCAAGTCGATTCAAGGAAGGAAGATAGCCGGCTAACTTTTCGCTGCACGGTTGGAGATACGCTTTCATCCTCCAAGGGCTGCGATTAGAAGCAAGAAAGTGGATTGTTTGGGTCCCAGCTGTCAGGCCGGCATTTTCACCGTTACTCTCGGCGCCTAATGTTACAGATATAGGCTCATGCAAGCTCTGAAGCTAGGCTGGCGAGGTCAGTGTTCTCCCTTTGTTAGCTAGAAATAAGTTACTCTTTTAAGAAAAGCCCACGACGACGGCTCCCCAGTATGTGGTCTCGCTTGTGGATCAAACTTTTGTTTTTATTGCTGTAGATTGCTTCAGTGCTGTGCATTAAGGAGAAGCAAGTTATACGCTCACCATTTTGTAAGTTGAGGTTCACCAGTGTTTTGTTTTTGGGGGAAGTTTGCCCTGATGTCTAGCGAGCTTGGCAAGATAATGTCAGTGGGGGGAGCTGTTTGGCCAAGAGGTGCCGGAAGCCACCGAGCAGGGAAGCCAGGCAAATCAAACAGCGAGAAAGCGGTCTGACCACCGCCGCTTGGCTCCCACACAGCCGGCACCTCAGACGCAGAGGGGTCTGGGGTCTGGTTGTTGCCTCCCCCAGGGGCCCACAGGGTCATGGGGGCGTGGGGGGGTGGGGGGGAGTCAAGCCCTGAGGGCCCCTGGGGCTGGCTGGCGGACGTTTCTTCCAGCAGCACCTCAGCTGCTGGGAAAGCTGCATCACAGACCCTTGGGTGATGGCCACGCTTTCCCAATCTTCACTTCTAACGCCGGCCCCTGTTTTCAGTGGGATCAGACCGACTACAGTCAGCGATCCCACAAAGTCTCAGGCACTCAGGTAGGAAATATCCACCATCCGGGTTGCCATCCAAGAAATAGATCTTCAGACATGATGATGTTTCAAATCACTTGCGGTTTTCAATACTATTTAAGTTAATGTGTATTGTGGGGAATCAGCATTTTTCAACTGTTAACGCTGGATGAACTTTCAGTTTTTTCTTATCATGAACTTGCGGGTTTTGTTTCTACACAAAACAAAGTTCACTGTTAAAAACTACATTATGCAATGGCGGAACTTTTTAGTTGCCAACCAGTGGATTTAATCTTTTGATTACAAGGATGAGCAGCTTCGGTGCCAGTCTTATTTTTTTCCACTCCACTTCCTGCTTCCACAGTGTTACTTTCCATGTTTGGAATTTTTTTTTTTTTTTTTTTTTTTTTGTCATGCATGTAAAAAACCGTTTGGAAACCCTGTTTAGTATACACATGACCATGACATTGTTTTTTCACCAGCATAAATCTAATTGTGTTAACTGATTTTCTTTTCATCGCTTAACCTGATAAAGATTTATCAGGTTTATTAAGAAGATTTCACATCGCTGAAAGACAAGAACAATCACATTATTTATAAGTGCATACAAATGTAGTTTAGTGAGGCCAGTGTGTGTGTGTGTGTGTGTGTGTGTGTGTGTATGTGTGTGTGTGTGTGTGTAAGAAAGGACTGACTGAAGGATAAGGATAGAGGTGATGCAGAAACTGAGAAAAAATGATGAGAGAGTAAAAGTCCACAGAGGGAAAGCAGGGATATATCCAACTGAAATGAAACAATAGAAAATAGCTGCAGCAGAAACAGATTATGAAAGCATATTGTGCTATTGTTTGCTGTACACATCTGTTTGCCTTCTGAGCTCGCTTTCTCTCGAGCAGATGCTAATAAAGAGTGTGCATTCACATACTGCTGCTCCATTATACATTCATGTGGCCAACCCTGATATGTCCTCATGTTTACACCGGTGGAACTAATGACACCGCTTCTGCAATCCTTCAGAATTAACCCTTCAGGTCAGCCAAACACACACACACACACACACACACACACACACACACACACACACACACACACACACACACACACACAAAACACACGACACTTACACCGCAGGTATATACACTCCTTACGAACTCTTGAAGGAGGAGTTAGGAAAGGAAACTAATGAGATGTATCAAATAGCGCAGGTACAGCACTAGTGTGTGCGTCTTTTCTGCCGTTGTTGTGTGCGTGTGTTCAAGAGGCAGTTATCAGGTTCACAAAGTGAAGCAATTTGACCAGTTAGCCACTGATTATACACACACAAATCACTATTAAAATCTGCATGTGTAGTCATACATGTCAAAGTGCCCTCTACACATATAGGCTACAGAGGGATTGGTTCTACGATTGATTCTTTTTGAGTTTACCTTCCATTTAGCTTGTAAATGATGTAAAACATGTTCATTATGCTCATGTTGAATGTCTCGGGTTTATTTATTAAATACTGGATTTCCAAATCAACTGCACTGTACACAGATAAATTGGTGCACCTGCAGCCCTCAGTGATTGACCAGGTTTGACATAATTATATCTTTTGCTCTCGCACAACAGAAATCAATTTTTTTTTTTTTTTAAATGCTCAATTTAGTGTGCATGTGATTTTTTTTTGGCTTGTGTGAGACAATGTGTGTGTGTGTGTGTGTGCGAGTGTGCGTTTCGGCCAAAATTGAGCTGTATCTCTCTCACTCCACCACTAAGGTCAAGGCAGCTGTGTAGAAGGGTGAGTTACACCAGCGAGCGGCATGAGTGTATTCTCCCTACAGCAGGTCTGCCTGAACCGCTACAACAGTAGTAGCTTAGAAAACTATGCTCAACACAGACAAGAGGCTCTGTGTGCCTGGAGGCTTGCTGAACTGAGCAGCCTTCGATGGAAACAGCACATTAGATGTCTCTACTCAGTAAGTGTCTTACTGGATATTTCCTCTACACAGAGAAAAAAAGAGAAAAAGGGGCAATGTGAGGCTGAGCCATGCAAATAAAATCCTGTTTATCTTTGCATATTAGGCAAGTGTGATGAAATATTGTCATTTGTTTACCCAACTCATCCTTAAAAAAAACATTATATGTCACAGCATTGAGGGTGAAAGGACTATGTGTAAGATCGTCCCAAAAGAAGAATCAGAATCTCCAGATTTGGTGCAGAAACTGAAGTTGTGCAGCAAAGTGTGTAATGCCAAAACTAGAAAATAATTGGCAGGCCTCTATATAATTAATTAGCTAAAATGTAACAAGTCCTGCAACCTCGCTAATGCTTAAGTTTTGAATTTTTAAATGAAAATATATAAATGTATATATCATTTACAGATCATACATAGCAGAAACATATACCTATATACCATTTGCAACAGAAACCATTTCTGCTGTTTTAATTATTTTTGGCTTTTTTGCAACATAATCACTTTCTCATTTCAGGTTTTTGGACAAAATGACCAATGTTTTCCAGTGAAGACAGTATTGTCTTATGTATTTACTCCAGTTAAATCCACATGTAAGGAAAACAGCTTGTAGCCATTACATTTGATGCAAAAAGATGCACCTTCACTCATGTTATATATATATTTTTATACTGCATTTCAAGGTTCACTGTTATTTATAACAGCAATACAAGATGATACCAAGCAAGGTCCAAGCTTGGGATCCTGTTAAAATGACTGTGCACTCCATATTCCAGGTTGTTTTACTTAGTACTAAAAAAAAACTGGGCTGCTGTCCCACTCTCCAGTTGTTCAAACAGAGCCAAAGCTCTGTTCAAGAGCAGTAAAGGCTCCCTTTACACGTGTGTAAAATGCCTCATAAAGACCCAAAGACCCAGAAAATGCAGGAAACAGTCATTGTCTACCCTGAATGGCTCCTACCAGACCCAATGCTATCAGGGTTGGGCTATGGAGCTTTTCATTGAATTATTGAATTACAGCACCGAGAACAAGGTCTTAAAATTCTCTTTAGGTCCATTAATGTAATAGTGCAATCATACTTCTGATACTGTGAAGAAAAAAAAAAAAAAAGAAAAAAAAAAGAAGAAAAAACACTGTTCCCATTCTGATGACTCGGCACTTTATTCCATTTCCACTTCCTTTCATGTGCATGAAACTAGCTGAAAGTTGAAAATAGTTCCCTTAAAATCTGAAAAAAGCCCTGAGCGTTTCCATCCTCTTAGCTCCTCCTCCCCCATTTCACCCTAATACCTCCACTTCCCTGCATAAATGTATCATTACAGTATTATTATGGCCATGGTATCCCCCGAGCTTCCATTTACAGGGACTTAGGTACTGTGTTCTGGGGCTTACGTGGACCCATTATATCATTAAGTCATTATGAGCCGGGACAGAGAGAAAATAATACCCATAATAGGAGCTACATTGGGCACTACTTAAATCTATACTCCCGTCCTGCGTGCCTTCCTGCCTAGTTATCTGTCTGGCTGTAGATCTGTACGTGCACTGTGTTTCATGATACGCATCATCCTACCAAGCCATCTTCCTCCCAACAGAGACAGTTTGAAGACAAACTTCTGAAACTGTTTTTACTCAGTACGTGCGAGTGTTGGCAATGACCGACTTACCCCGGAATTAGGATATGCTGTCCAGCCCAGTTCAGCTGTGGCCACCCGAGTGTCCATCACGGTCTCTGCAGCAAAGAGAGAAAAAGAGGTAGAGAAAGGAAAAGACAGTGGTTAGCCTCAAAGGAAGCTATTTTGAGCATTATTCCACAGAGCTGAACCGCATTCAAGCCCCAGTGATCACTTGACACTATCATCGAATAACAGAAAGGAGACGAATCCCTCACTGCGTTTCATCCATCTCTGCTAGACTTCTGTTAAGACAAGAGACATGGAAACAAAGCCTTGGCACTGGAAGGAATGTCTGAGAGCCTCTGTCATGCTGTTAAACGCTGAGCTTTGTATTGTGTTCTCCCTGTGTGAGCATGAAACTACAGTATGCGCATCCTGCCTTTGTTTGTGTGCATGTATTTGCACGATATGTAGTCATTTGTGTGAAAAGTGAGTGGATATTTTTGTGTCTGTTTGTGCGCACATGAGAAACGCTGTACGGGCTTGCGTGCGTTTGTGTGCGAGTGCCGAACTGTGTCACATTGTTTAACCGAAGAAAGTGGCAGCACAAAATGCAGAGGGAGCCCTTCCAAGGCTAAGCCATTCCACATTATTTACTCCAAGTGGGGGCATTCTCTGAAAACTATATGGCCTCCGCTCCTCTCCACATTTATGAAAATACATATATTTCCAAGACATTGTAACTTCCTGAGGATTTGCACAAAATCTCAAGATGCGCCTTAGATGACTATATGGTACACAGGTTACAAACAATGTTGAGCCAAGAGAAAGTTACAACGTTAAACAGGCAATTCTGCCATTGAGAGGAAAAGATTTGATTCTATCTGTCTCACTTTGGACTTGCACTAACTGAGCTGTCATATCTGGCACCATATCTATGAAATATAAGAACACAAAGATTACCCATTCTCTCTCGCTCTCTCCCCCCCTCTAACTAAACCTCAGTGACACACCGTAGACAAATAAGTCTGGCAGCTCACCCAAGAAGTTTGTCATCCCTGTTCTGATTTATATCTGCCTGGTTGGTACACTGGAATCTGGAAACTTGATATAGCTCCAGGAAAGGAGAGAGAAGTATGGCAGTTATCACAGACCACTGGTCTCTCCTGCGCCTCTCTCTCTCTCCCTCCCACCCACACACGCGGATTTACAGAGTGATAAACTGGCTGACATGTTGGCCTTAGCAGTGTAATGATAGATTCATAATTTCACCTGTAACAAACAGCTCATTCTCTGGTGTATTGAAAGCGAACCAGGGCTTATTTTGCTTTCTGATGTCCCCCTGCCACAACACGCCCGTGGTTGTGTTTGTTGTGACCAAAAAAGATTTTTATAAAAATGGGAGACAGAATAGAAGGGTATGGTGTGTCTGGGTGATGACCTGTATTAGATAAGCAGGGTGTGTGGGAATTATCAGAGGAACTGCAGCTGCTGTGTCTATGGCTTTGGACATCATCCACCATCAAAAGCAAACGGTAGAGACGCCCACATGGGTTGTTGATGAGGGAGAAATCTCGCAACGCTGTCCTCGTTCAAGGAATGGTTTCAGCCCCCAGCACCCTCCCTTTACCTGCTCCTTCACGCACCCGCAGCTGTCGCTTATTTTGAATCTCGCTGAACTCGCAGTGATTTAGAAATCATTCCAAATGATGGAGCACTCGAAGCCCGTCATCGGCAGTTCAAGTGGTCTTGGTGAAAAAAAAAAAAAAAAAAAAAAACAAGTACACTGAGGATGAGTGACAAGCTGCTGGTAGGAAGGAAAGAGGCCTTTCATTCTCTGTCTCCACTTACAGGGAGAAACTGTCCTCAGACATGAAACCAATTAGCCTAGGTAATTCAGCTTCATGCTCAAGCACTCACACATATACACGTTAAGACACGCACACAACATGGACACATGCTGCACACGCACACACATGCACATTCTCATTCACCAGCCAACTCAGAGAGCAATTTTCTGTGTACACCTACAGTGACAGCCTTGTTCACACCCGGCTTCCATCAGAGTATTTCAATTTCCCTAAGATCAGCCTTGCCTTGTCTAGTTTCCACAGCCAGCCAGCCAGCCAGCTCCAGCCAGCCAGCCAGCCTGCCTGCCTGCCTGCCTGCCTGCCTGCCTGCCTGCGCGACTTGCTGTCAGCTGGGGAGATAGGAGCATGAAACAGCCCTCAGCACCAGCCAGCGTTGTGGGGACTGCCAACCCTTTCTCAGGGGAAATCACAAAAGCTTCAGTCAAATCACACAGGCACTTGGTAGGCCATTTTCCATTTCCTGTTAAAAGGAAGGGGGGGGGCACAAGATGGTGAGGACAGGAGACAAAAAAAGGTCAAAAGACCCATGGGATGAGCTGGGTCATGTGGCCTAATGTCTACCATTAGCAAAATATCAGAGTAGCAGATGAGTAAATGGAGTATGCTAAGTGGTTATTAGCAACGGGGTGGGGCACACACAGCCTTCATGCCATACCTCACACACCTGTCCACTGGCACTGGGGATTTGGAAAATGTCCCTTGTGTGTGCCTGTGTGTGAGTTTTAAATGAGCTGTTATGTGGTCTACTCATCATCGTAAGTGGATTTGAAGAGTTTCACTTTAAAAATGCACTACCCACATTAATTATAAAAGCAGACTCTTTTAAAATTACAAGAGGCACATTTTGGTTTGTTGAAAATCTAAGTCATCCTATGACCTAAGCTCACAAAACCATCTGGTTTCAGGGGAGTAAATCATCTACAATCATCTATATGTTTTCTTAAAAAAAAAGAAGAAAAAGTAAACAAATGGCTGGTGGTTCATTTTATATATATATATATATATAAATATATATATAAAAATAATGGGATTAAATATTTCTCTGTTTAATGATAATTCCACAGATTCATACACATGATAATTAGCTTTGACAAAAAAAAAAAAAAAAAAAAAAAAAAAAAGGTTGTAACTGTAAATTTTCATTTCAAGCAGCTGCAGCTTGGACACTTATTTCCAGTAGTTTAACACGGGGTTACTCCTCATCTTAAGACCATAAAACCCTCGTAAAAACAATTAGTCCTCCTTTTCCCTGGCTCCCTAAATCTGATTGCAGTTAAGTCTGACCACACGTCCTATTACCCCCTCTCTCTTTCAGTTTTCAACAAGTCTTTTGGAAGACAAAGAAAGACAACAGCTAGCTGTAGTCACCTCATGTTTGGAGGGTAGCCCAGAGTGTTTTCTCCTGAATTCATATTCTGCAATGTCAGCTCCACCTGCAAGCTCCAATAAATTAAACACAGCCAGGTTCAGAAGCGGTTCAGTCTGTGGGAAAATTATTAACATGGAGAGCTTAATGTTGACTATGTAACCATGGCTCATAAATCTATTGGAAAACAATAGCTTGTAGGTGTCAGGGTAGCCTGCCTTAAATGGATTCAAAGAGCCGCAAGGCCGGAGGATGTATTGTGACTACATCGTAGAATATTAGTTACTCTAAATCATACAGCGGATGTTGGTTAGCTCATTGTGCAAGGCTCAGTCAAGCTGATACAGTGCCAGTGTACTTTTCAAAACCCAGAAGTCTTAAGCCGAGCCAAAACCAAGGCTCAACCGAGGGGCCCTACAGCTTCCAATCCCAGAAAGCACAGCTCCTTCTCATTAGCAGCAAGTGATCGATCAATACCAAATGGTAGGCTGTTTCCACAGATAGAGAGGGAGGGAGAGAAATGAAAGAGCGAGAGAGACTGCATTAAACATTGATGGGGCCCTGCGTTACAGATCGATAAGGCAGCCCCTCTTCACACAATTACACGTCAGCAAGCAGTCGCATGATACATCACATACACACGCATGATTACATCTCGCCAGCACTTGGGCAAAAGATAGAAAGAGAGTTCAGAGGAGAGAGAACAGCAGGGATGGATTGTCTATTGTGTCCACCTTCTTTGAGCCTTTATGTAGGACTTTAATTCTGCAGTTTGCATGTCAGAATGGCAACATGTCTGTGTAATTTACCCCTTTGTGGCCATGTCTGTATGATTGTTTGGCTGCTGGTCGATAGAACATGTGCTGAAGCGCCTCTCTGAAGCTCCCTGGCTCCTTAGTCAATACGGCTGACAATTCTCCACGGATTTTCCTTCCCATCCCATAACACAACACATCTTTTCCATTCATCTATCCTTTAACCCTCCCTTGTCTGTGTCCCCCTCTTCAAGGATGCTGGTGCACTTTGTAATTCAATGAGACAATCAAGTCCAGATGCTGGATGCTGGGCTGAGAGGACCTTCTCTTTGTGATCGTAGCAACAAAACTGAAATAAGATCCGAGGGCCTTGAACGACATTATTTAAGAGGGGTTTATCTTTTCTCAGAAATGAAATCAAGATGGGAGGACAAAGGGAGAGAGAGGGAGAGATGGATGGGAAAGGCAGACAGAGAGAAAGACAGAGATGAAAAACCAAGAGAAGAAATCAGCGGGATTGAAATGAGCACTTAACAATGATGAAGCCCCATGGTAGCCCGCTGAGCCTGGCATCTTAATACGAGGCTGAAAACAAAGTGACAAACAAGAGTGAAAGCTGCGGCATCTCTCAAACTAATCAGCTGTCCACTTGGGGGATTTATGAATAAAATAAAATAAAAAAAAAAGAACATTTCTGACAGAGTGAAGTATTTTCTTAACAAAATCGTGTAGAAATTTCTCCCATAGCACCCTGGGAAATTGCAAAAAAAAAAAGAAAAAAAAAAAAAAAAAGATTGTTTACTGGACTAGAAGGAAGGACCAACATCAAGTCCGGCATGGTCAAGAGCAGTGAGACGATGCGAAAACTGTGACTGGGTTGACGGCAAAACACTGTTTCTGGGTAAGAAGAATATGAAAGAGGCGATAGCTTTGATTGAATCACCGCGTTCGACAGAGAAGACGATCCTCACAAACACAGATGCGAGACTTTTCTAATCTGCGCCACACTAAAGTTATGTCACTCATACTGAAGGTTTTTTGCTTTTAATAGAGGATACACAACAGTCCACAGAAATACATCAAAAGTAATATGTTACCGCTATGTCTCCCTGAAGACAGAAATG